TTCACCTTTTAGACACTTTTGCAATTTAACGAGAATTTCATCTGCACTGTAGTTACACATTTTGGAAATTTGTTGAAATCTCTGAAAGAACAGAGGCCAATCCTCGGGGTTGCCATCAAACACTGGGAAGTCCTTATCAACGATATATCTGGTCAATAATTTGTCATGGCCAGATGGTGCAATGGTTTTCACAACATTTGAAATGGTTTCACAAAGCAGTTGTATTTCATTTCGAGGCTGTTCACTTATTTCGGGATGGCATTCTTCCGGTGGTGGGCCTGGAACTGTTTTGGTGACCCATTCAGCTACAGAAGGGTTAACGTTTTCATTCCTCCCTTCGAGTCGAGCTTCGAGTTCACTTCTTGGCAAGGACTGATCATCGGATTGTTCCTCTTCTTCTGCAACATCGATCTCTGCATTTCTCAATTCATGTTCCATGTGCAGTATTTTCATTTTATCTTCAATTTCTCTCTGTTTCTTCTCTATTTCTAAGTTCTCCTTCATTCGTTCTAGTTCTTGTCTTTCTTTTTCCACCTGGAGTGCAAGTCTTTTCTTCTGTAATGCTAAAGATGCTTGAGAAGCTCTAGAAGATAGTCTGGAAACACTGCTTCTTACACTTTTTCTACTTGGATGTTGGCGTTGGCTCAGCGAAATCACTGATTTCATGTCAGTTTCAATAATTGACTTGTCACTTTCCTTGACATATTCAACGATAATGGACTGATTTTGATTTTCTGGAATCACTGGCAATAAAGATATGTCTGCACTAAGAGGAGGTTCACGGCTGCTTTCAGTAATGGGCAAGGAACTACCAAGATCTGTATTTCCTGTACCAAACCCTACTGGCCACACAAAATCAGTGGTCAAATTTCGGTTTATACCAGCACTCTCTCTTCTTGGTCGGGCATCTTCATTTCCATTTACTTTCTCCATAACTGTAGCTGATCCGGCTCGAAGGACCAAATATTTCGTCTGATTAAAGGTTCTTTTCCAAATTGAATCGTATGTATTTCGTTTCTTTCAATTACATATATATTAACAACTGAATATCATTTTTTGTCAACAAATTATCTTGTTTTTAAATTATATAAAATACAGGATGTAAAACAAGACATCACAATACTCTTTATTGAATGTTTCGTGGAGATATGGGTTGAAACATTCCAATGAAACATTACACACCCTAGGTCATTTATGGTCTCTAGAATGTCTCATAAATGTTTCGGAGTATATAGGTGAAATGTTTCATATTTCACAAAGTTTGTTTCAGGAACGTTTCAGAAACACAAAATGGTTTACTGGGTATAGGGTGATTATGAAGTTTTTGGATGATGAAAATGACAAAAAATCGTGTTTTTGGAAATCATCCTGTTATTCATGATAAACTCGGCGAAATTCGTTCTTCGTTCTTCGAAGAGCAGAAAAATTTTGTATTTTATAATTTTTATCATAACAAAAATGACTTTAGGAACTTTGATGTGCAAACATCAGTTCTACCAACCTACTGTCATCTGTGATTCTGTATGAACCACTGAACGAGAACGAGCAGAACTGACTGAAAGGACGGATAACTCAGAATGACTATTCGTGAATGAAAAAATTAGTAATTAATGTTTGCTATAGCTCGATATTATATATATCCATAATTATTCAGAGAAAGTTTTGAATATTTAATATAGGCTCATTCCTTAATTTTTCACTTTGCGAGCGTCATCTAATGAAACCAAATCCAAATCGCGCAAAAAAATGTACTAGAGTGGAGGCTTTTAGAGCCGAATGATGCGATAAAATTTTCAAGTTTCCTACCATCTAACCTAGACAAGATATTATCCATGCTAGATATACAGGGTGATTCAAAAGCAAGCGGCATCCCTTCAGGGGCGTATTCGTTGCATGAAAATGAGGCAAAAAGTTCCTATTAATAAGGGTCCGAAAATGCTATAGAATAGAATAGAATAGAATAGAATTTATTTCTCGAATACACACATATTACATACAACTATAGTTAATTTTTTTCAATGGAAGATTTTCATGCATGCTGGAGCTGTGTGAGCTATTGAGAAGAGCAGTTCATTTTTAGTTTGTTTTTACACAATTATAATAAGCAATTACACAAATTGTAATGATAATAATAAAAAGAAATAAGATGGTGAAACATATTCGCAATATTTAAAAAATGCATCTAAGCTTACATATAAGTAAAAAATTACATATTGATACTGTAAGAATGAGTTAAAAATGTATATGTTAATATTGTATAAATATAGGAATAAAAAGAAATATATACAAAATAATTCACAAGTATAACAATCAAGCGATTTATAAGTGGGCATTGAAGAATTGTTTGGTATCGTAATAAACGTGGGTCTGCTTCCTAAGGGAGCTACGTCCCTTCGAATAGGACATCTCTAAGACGAATTTTCCTGTATAACTTCAAAATCCTTCACAATAAATCTTCGAAAATTGGTGTATGGCATAAGCATATGATGGATAATAAGACTATGAATTCAAAATTGTAATTGTAAAAACATCCTTTAATTCTTCTTTTGTTATTCAGGTTATTGTGATCTCGTTAAAACTATGAAATTCTAGAGTCTTTCACGAAAAAAAGGTTCTCCTAGTTCATTTCGATAAAGCGTACCATACTAGGAGAAAATCGACTTTGACGACTTTGAAAACTCTCTGATTTGCGTAAATCACAATAACTTGAACATGAAAAGAAGAAGGGATGTTTTTAAACTTACCCTTCCCCGCATGTGACGCCCCTGGAAGAAAATTTTTGAATTTTAAATTCAGAGTCTTATTTACCATCAAAAGTTTATGCCGTACACCAATTTTCGAAAATTTATTGTGAAGAATTTCAAGGTTATAGAGAAAAAAATCGTCTTTGAGGTGTCCTATTCAAAGGGGCGTAGCCGTAGCTCCCTTTTGAAGCATTTTCGACCCTTATTTTCCTGCGAGGAATACGCCCCTGGAAGGATGCCGCTCACTTTTGAACCACCCTGTATATAGGCCTATTGTTTACATAAGTTGCAAACTTGAACAACGTTCAGCTGAATAGTTACATTTCAAGAGCTGAAATTCTAGGTGTGTGTTGCCCAAATCACTACTGAGGAATTGGGTGAATATAACGTTATTCTGAGACACAACATTATCGAATATGTTTACATATTTTTTTGAAATTCGCCTTCAAAACTGTCCAATCCCGAGTAACAACTCTTATCTTCAAGATAATTCAATCTATTCGGCAATCGGACTTTTCGTTTGGCCAAAAAAATTATTTGATAAAAGAGGTCTGCATTCCAGTCATTTTGAATTGACCTTGGTAACTCCCCTCATAGCTCCCCTCTCAAGTGTCATTTAAAAACGACTTATAAGGTCATTTGGAGAAAAAGAGTTTTTCTGATATTCTTCTAATTTTATTATCATATTCCCGAGCTCTTATGAATAATCCAGTTTTTTTTTTCTAAAATTGTCCTGCTTGAGCAATTCAGAGGTTAGTTTATTCTTGTGAATTTTGGAAAAATACATGGAAAATAGGTAGAAACACATAACTTAATAATATCTCATGACAGTATCTTGCTACACTACCACCTGAGTAGAAGCTATACTACCACCATCCATACCCAGCCACCCCCTGTGCAGAGGGTAGTTTTGTCTGGTGAATTTTGGATAAAACATATAAACAGGTTGAAACACTGGTACTTCATGACAATATCTTTTGGTTCTGCCTCCTACTACCACCATGAATACCCACCTACCCTCTGTGCAGATATGGTAGTTTATTCTTGTGAATTTTTGAAAAACATAGAAAACATCAGGATGAAATACATAACTTACTTGTATCTCATCTCATGACAGTATCTTGGTACTAACACTCGAGTTGTAGCTACCACTAGCATTCACACCCACCCCCAGTGCAATGGGCGTGTACACCTTAGTAGAACTTTTAACTCGAACCATGTTTAAAATGATCCTTTTATACATAAATAATGATTGACGACATAATTCGATCAAAAAATTAACTGGAATGTTTTATTTTTGGGCATTAATAATAGTACCTTCTGAAAACGGACCCTCTTTATGACGTAGAAACCTCATCTCGCCATAGTTAAAAGAAAATACCAAAAACCCGACGGAGACTGAGGCAACTGATATATTAATTCTTTCAACTGTGATCTCGAGCTAATTCACTCTGTGAGAAATCATGTATCATTCATCTCTGTCTGGAATAGTCTTGTTTCAGTATTAGGGTTTTGACGTCACATCATCGCCTCGTTTTCAGAGGTCCGAAAAATCGGGGATTTCAATAATTTTTTATCAAACGTAGGGAGCTCACAGCAAGAAACGGTTTGCGGTGGTGAGCTAGTTTGGGTGAGTTCTATCGAATTATGAAATAAAAATTTTTTGTGATACAAGCCCATTAAGGTCACTTTATTACTGTGAATTCTGGTAAAAACATAGAAAACCGGTCGAAACTCATAACTCATGACAGTATCTCTGTGTTTTCCAAAATTCACAAGAATAAACTACCCTCTACACAGGAGGTGGTTTAGTATGGAAAATGGTAGTGACTATTATTCAGGTGTTATAGTATCAAGATACTGTCTTGCAAGAATATTCTACCCTCTGCACAGGGGATGGGTGGTTATGGAAGGTGATGGTAAAAGCTACTACTCAGGTGGTATAATAGCAAGGTACTGTCATGAGATACGAGTACGTTATGTTTTTGTACTTAACTTCGGCAGTTTTTTCAAAATTCACAATAAATACTATCCTCTGAACTGGAAATAGATGCGGATGCTAAGGGTGGTAGTAGGTACTATATACATATACTGGGGTGGTAGTATATAGTCGTATAATATATTGTTCAATAGCATGCCATCTGAAATAGTGGTATATCATTTTGAAATTTCAAATTTAGTTAGTAAATTATAATTTCACCCCACGAAACGCTCTGTACACATGGCGAATAATGAATTTTTGTGTAATTTTTTCAGATTTGCCAACAAAAACTGGAAAAATAGCTGTCATCACAGGAGGGACTAGAGGAATCGGACTCGAAGTAATAAAAATGCTCCTGCAATGTGATATCACCATTGTAATTGGTAAGTTACAACACAGGGTGTTCTGAGTTTCTCTTTGACTACATAATAGTTATTTATGTATTAAGGGAATTATGAGGGCCTTAATTACCGATGGCAAAGTTTGCGTCCCGAGGGCCTCTGGCCCGAGGGACAGCAATTGCCTGAGGTTATTGAGGCTCAGTAATTCCCGTGATACATAGATAATTTTATTTCTGGCTGATTTCATTCATTAGATACCTTCTTGATTGGAAGTTAGACATGTTTTTCCGTATAGTTTCAATGTCATCAGAACGTCAGATGATGATCTTGACTACCGCGAATAGGAGATTCCTTATTGCTACGTTACTGCGTGGTTGTTGCTATGCATTTCTTATTTAATTTTAGTTAGAGGGAATTATAGCATCTATAACATCCCAAGGGAGTTATGACCCTCATAATAGATATCGTAACTATGACGATATAAGCTTATAATGTCACTGTCAGAAATAAATGAATTTACATCAGGAGAAACTAGTAAGAATAAGATCACCGGATCAAGAAGATATTCCTAATGAATATTAGTCATTAGACCAATAATAACGGGTCATCAATATTTAGTGAGTGATGGGAATAAGCTCTCACAGCAGTTTGTGACGCGTCTAACTCAAATTACGAAAAAAATATAAACAGACCTCATGAGAAAAGCAGTTTTACTAAACGAATATAGCTTTTGTCAACAGAATTTTATCTACCCTTATTATGCTCAACCGTTTTCGATGAAATAATGGTACATTTTATTGTGTTTTCAATTTCATTTTTTTCACCTGATGAAACAATAGTTATTATACAATGAATCACGTCTCAATATCTCAATATACAGAGAGAAGTGCACAAAAAACGGCCAGGATTGTAACTTTTGAATTATTATAGATAGGATTTTGAAAATTGGTGGGTAGCAAGTTCACCAAATTGCTCATTAATTGTTGAAACAATTTTTTGTCTATCGCACTTCCAGTTTCACCGGAAACGACCCCTATTTTTGATTTTCAAATGGGACACCCTGTATTGTATTCCATAATCGGTTAGGGATTATTATGACGAATTCAACGATACCGGGTTTGATTGGGTTATTTCAAACAATTGCAAAGATATTTACGTTCAAAGTTTCCATATGCTCAATGAGTGTGACTTCGAAATATCAAAACTTCTTTCTCTGTTACACACTCATTGAGTATATATGGAAACGTAGAACGCGAATATCTGCGTAATCGTTCGAAATAACCCGGAATCGATGAATTCGTTATGACAATTCCTAACCGATTATGGAATACAATCAGGGTGTCCCATTTAAAAATCAAAAGTTGGGGTCATTTCCAGTAAAACCGGAAGTGATAGAAGAATAATTGTTTCGTCGTCAACCCTATCTTGAATAATTCGAAATTTACAGTCCAGGCCGTTTTTTATGCACTTCTCTGTATTCTACTGATGACAGAATTTTGTTCGATTGAGATTGTATTTAGTTAAAACGTATCAAACGACCATATTATGATGAGCAGCGAATGTGATTTTTTACTGTAACATATTACCTCAAGACATATGAGTTTTACGCAAATATCTCCGGAACATCTACATTTAAGCATGCAGAATGTTATTACTCTCAGGTTGAGTATTGATAATCCTAACGGATGTGATTCTCTAATTTGATAATTCATCTGTTTGAGAAAAATTTTGAAGGAAACTGTAGCGACATACGACCATTACCACGCAACTGGTTGACGATATTCAAGAATGAAAACTACCTGTGATTACTCTGATTAATCTGGATTGGTATACCAAGTTTGAATTGTTTTGCTACAGGGGTCCTGGAGAAATTTAGAGAAATTTCAACTTTTTTCGTAGTTTCTACACCCTGTATCTCAGTGAGGATGCATTTTAGGACATACGTTGATAGGAACTTTTCACCCCGAAATGAGATGAGGAATCCGTGTACGAAGTCTTATTCTGACTCACCCTGTATACAGGGTGTCCCGAAATCAGCCTGCCAAACTTCACCGGCGGCTTCTACGGTCAAAAATAGGAAGAAAAGTTCCAATAAATATTAGTCGAGAAAAGTCTGCTAAGGGAGCTTCGGCCCCCTGAAAGGGGGCTCCTGAAGATGATATTTGTTGAATATTTCCGAAACGCCACGTGATGAAATGATACAATTTGGTACAATAACTAAACTTTCTATGCCCATTGCGGTGAACATCAAATCATTCCAAAGTTTCATTCAGTAGTGTATAATACAGGGTGGGACCACAATAAATATTGTTCAAATTTTGTTGTGTGCATATTTTCCGACAATTTAATCTCGGATTATGAAAATCCACATCGTTTCACAAAAAAAGGTGCTCTTGTTCCGCATCCATCAGATGTATAATTTTCGAGTGAAATCGATTTAAACATATATACAGGCTGATCCACGGTGGATGGCCTATTAGAAGTATCTGGAGAACGAGAAGACAGAACATTCTGGAAATTGGGATGCTTTGATAATTGAACATTCTCTATCCGTCTAAAATATTTTCATCGATACAGTGTTGCCACTTCTATCAGAAACAACTAGCAACTTCGTTATTTTAAATAGAGCACCATGTATTTTATTGCATTTTTAGATTTTCCCTGAAAAGCTGATTTCATCAATGTATCATACTTGGGGTCTAGCAGGAATGATTACATAGATATAGGGTATTCAAAATCGAGATTTTTCAATTTCAGGATTATTTTGTGTCGAAAGTATTCATTATTGATCAAAACGGCTTACATGTCCCTATCTTAACTTTCGATTCACTATCTACTGACATCTAATTGGAACAGATACAGGGTGATCAGAATTCTGAATCTTGAAGCACCCTGTATTTTTTCAATCAAATTCCAGTAGATAGTCAATCAAAAGTTGAGATAGGGACATGTAAGCCGTTCTGATCGATAATGAATAGTTTCGACACAAAAAAATCCTAAAATTGATTTTGAACACCCTATATATATCTCTGTAATCATTCCTGCTAGACCCCAAGTGTGATACATCGATGAAATCAGCTCTTTAGAAAGAATCTAAAAATGCAATAAAATACAGGGTGTTCTATTTGAAATAACAAAGTTGCTAGTTGTTTCTGATAGATGTGGCAACACTGAATCGATGAAAATATTTTAGACGGATAGAGAATGTTCAATTATCGAAGAAACCCAATTTTCAGAATGTTCTGTCTATTCGTTCTCCAGATACTTCTAATAGGCCATCCACCGTGGATCACCCTGTATTGATACACTCACATCTTATGCATAAAGTTGTCAATTTTCATATAATAGTGGCTATAAAAAAATCAACTACCTATTTTCTATTCACCAAACAATCTTATAAAAGCGCGAAAAATTGGAAAATGATGATAAAAAACGACTTCCTTTTTTTGCATTATTTCTCCTTTTCCACTACGACTTATTGCAATGTTATGCATAATATCTGAGATGTCACAATGTTTTTAAATCGCTTTTACTCGATAATAATACATCTTATCGTTACGGAACAAGAGTACCTTCCTTCTGTAAAGAGGTGTGGATTTTCATAATCCGAGATTAAATTGTCGAAAAATATGAACACGAAAAATTTTTAGCAATATTCAATGTAGTCCCACCCTGTATTATACACTCCTGAGCGAAGTTTCGAAATGTTTTTATTTTCACTGCATTGGGCGTGGAAAGTTTAGTTCTTGTACCAAATTGCATCTTCTTATCACATGGAGTTTCGGAAATATACTCAAGAAAAATCATCTTCAGGAGCCCCTTTCAGGGGGTCGTAGCTCCCTTAGCAGACATTTCTCGGCAGGCTAATTTGGTCCCATGAACCTAAACTACTCTATATAGGGTGATTCACTATAAATGTCCCCCCCCTCTAGCTCAGATATTTTGGAACCGATTCCAAAATTTGAAATATCATCTTGAATGATTCTCGATAAAGTTTTTTACCGCTAGATCAGAAAATACAGGGTGCTCGGAACAAACGATCTACAGGGTACTATTTGATTTTTTTAAATGGAATACCCTATTTTTCATTGTATTTCTAAATTTTCCCTGAGGAGCTGATTTGATCAATGTTCAAAATCGAGATTTTTCAACTTTAGGATTTTTTTGTGACGAAACTATTCATTATCGGTCAAAACGGCGATCATGTCCGTATCTCAACTTTTGATTTACTACTGATATTTAATAATTGGAACAGATACAGGGTGATCAGAATTCTGAATCTGAACCACCCTGTAAATGTTTCAATTAAATGTCACTAGATAGTAAATCAAGAGTTGAGATGGGGACATAGAAGCCGTTTTGACCAATAATCATCCGATAATGAATAGTTTCGGCACAAAAAAATCCTAATAAAATCAGCTCTTTAGGAAGAATTAAAAAAAAACAATTGAATACAGGGTGTTCCATTTGAAAAAATTAAGTACTCTGTAGATCGTTTGTTCCGAGCACCCTGTATTTTCTGATGCAACAGGAAAAAAATTTGTGAAAAATCATTTTAGATTATCTTTCAAATTTTTAAAATGGTTCAAGAATAAGTGAGCTAGACATTTATGGTGAATCACCCTATACCTATAGTTCCTCGAAATTTTCACTCCCTGACATTATAGGTTGTAGGAATATCAAACAAGGGGAAGCACTGCTTGGTATTTTCCGAAAAGAAGGTATCACAAAAGGAAAAATAGATGTGATGAAGTTGGACATTAGTGTGATGGATTCAGTGAAAGAATTCGCGAAGGCAGTGAGAGAAAAATATCCCTTGATTCATTACTTGATAAATAATGGTAAGTCATTATTTTTTTGGTTTTTTTTTGAGTACCTCCAATAATAATTATTATTGACGAATAATTGATTCTATATATTAATTATTATACATTATCTGTAGCAACCTTGAACAGTTATTGATCTGCTAGTGTGAATATCTAAATAATAAGGTACCTACCGAATATATACCGGGTGTCAACGAATCTATTAGACAAGTCATAACTTCTAGACCATTAGGTGTATCAAAATTAGATTTGGTATAGGTAAATGCAATGTGAAGAGGAGAGTTTTCACATATTTTTCACTTTCCGGCCACTTTCGGTTTCACCGGAAATGGCTCCGGTTCTAAATTTGTAAATAAAACACCCTGTATATTGTAACATTTTTGGATTTTTGAGACAATTCTAGATCAGAATGTGACATTTTCGAAAGTTTTTATGCCTACCTACTCAATTTTTCGGAGTCACTTTCGAAATTACATCAGGTGGCCATGACCGGAAAATCAGAAAATTACAATCGCGAAGTTTTAGTTACAAGTATGATATAAGACAAGTTGGCAAAATTACATTTTCGTGTCTAACTATTATTTTTCAAATAGCGACCATTTTTTGACAAGCACTTTCCGAAAATAGGATATCTTGACGAATCTAACGATACTAATTTATTTGCAATTGGATTACAAATAAGAACATAAATTAAATATTACTGACGAAAATACTTCACAATAATTTATTTACTTTTGTCAAGTGTGCCGAGGATAGGCATAATGCATAATATTTTACAGTTATTCCGATCAAGTCTTCTTGTTAATTTTGTTAAATTCGTTGATCCAATCGCAAATAGATAATTATCTTTAGATTCGTCAAAATATCCTTTTTTCGGAAAGAGCTTGTCAAAAAATGGTCGCCATTTGAAAAATAATAGCTAGACATGAAAATGTAATTTTGCCAACTTGTCTTATCCATATCTATCGATTGTAATTTTCTGATATCACCTGAGGTCCTTAGATTAGTTTACTTCCGATCATGGCCACCTAGATGTAATTTCGAAAGTGACTCCGAAAAAATTAAGTAGGCATAAAAACTTTCGAAAATGTCACATTCGGATCTAGAATTGTCTCAGAAATCCAAAAATGTTACAATATACAGAGGGTGTTCCTTTTGAAAATTTAGAACCGGAGCCATTTTCGGTGAAACCGGAAGTGACCGGAAAGTGAAAAATATGTGAAAACTCTCCTCTTCACATACCATTTACCTATATCAAATCTCATTTTGATACACCCAATGGTCTAGAAGTAATGACTTGTCTAATAGATTCGTTGACACCCGGTAGGTTACATTTTTTTGCATAAATTTTGAACGCAGTTCCAATGTTCAAATCTATCATTTTATCATTTATTATACAATATAAATGTAATGGGTCGTGAAAAATAACATAATGACAGATCGACGTAGATACGACACGATGTGTTTTTAAAAATAGCGATACTTAATCGATGAATATTCTGGTTGAAGTATACCATGAAGCCTCATTATTATATCCAAATTATTGTGGATATCAGGTTCATGCGGTAGGTAAAATTGAACATTTGAAGGATATCGAGATATTCTTTTCCTTCATAATGAAGTCACTATTTGTATTGCAGTTTGGTTCATAATTATTTTCTTTGCATTGTTTTTTATTAACTATCTGAAAATTTCAGGGATTTCCTTCCAAACAACATTTTATCTGAGAAAATGTATATTTTATTATACTATTGAACTACACCCGTTGAACACTTAGTTATAATTACCTTAAAATGAAAATCAATCAGATAATTTCAGTATTTGCATTCACATTCACATTTGCATCAAAATACTGAAAAAATAAAATAAATGAAAATAATTAACATACCTACCTCACATGTCCGATGATTCTAGATTATTTTGCAATTCAAATTTAAAGTGATATTACTTATGAAAATTATTAGTGTCATTCTGGTACTGAAAAGATATGGAATATATTACATATGCATATAATCCCTCGATCATTTGACGGGGTGGAGTGGCACTTTTAATAGGAATTAGAAGTGAATACTGGCATTTTTTTCTCAAACGCCATAGAAACATTTCGATTTCAACAACAGTATGATAACCATCCATCAGTCAACAGAGTTGACATTTTGAAACTAGAGAATCACCATGAGTACGAGAATACTCTGTCTTTTCATTAGTTTCTCGATTATTTTATTTTTAGTTTTCCCATTCCCGAAGTGCATAAAATAGTATAACCATTAAAACAAGGGACCTGCAGTTAATTTTAATCTCCTGGGTTTATAACATTCTATTGCCTCTCTTTGTTAAGTATTGAACAAAGAGATGAAACTACATAATCGTTTCAGAATGAGATCAGATGATTTGTCAGCATTTCGGTATGAAGATTAATTTTCCTACCTGAAAGTTTTTCAGTAGGTACCTAACTTTTTGAATGAAGTAAATTTACGAGGACATTGTTTTTGATAGTTGCAACATAATTACAATTTTGAGGTATTTCTGTTATGATTTTAGCGGGCATTATGTTCGGCCCTTATGTTGAGACCAGAGATGGATACGAATCCCAATTTTCCACTAACTACTTAGGCCATTTTCTTCTGACTCATCTTCTTTTGCCACGAATCAAAGATGCCGGGAAGGAAGATGACATGGCGAGGATTGTCAATGTTTCATCTTGTGCCCACATGGTGGCAGCAGAAATAAATTTCGCAGATATTAACAACAGGTACAGTAGTGAAGAGTTTAATTTCGCAAGTACAAGACGGGCGCATATCAAAATTCACAATTATAGAAGCAGGATTCTCTATAAAAACTGTGGAAACATGTAGAGTTCGTACGTCCGAAGACGTTATCCAATGATAGCTTCTTTTTACGATATAACGCCAATCAGAAATGTACCTGCCCCACAACCTGTTGGAATCAACACTTTGTCGAACGTGTCTTTTAGAGTTGCTTCATTTTGGAATCTGGCAAGTGCCTTTTAGAGTTGCTTTATTTTTTGACCGGCAAATGCAGAAGGTTATAGAGGCTCACTTCAACAACCATATATAACCGCCAATTTAATGTTATTCATGGTTCACATGTTATATTACTAAACTATACAGATGGTTGAATGGTCCATTATCCTCATTCATTACTCTATTACTATTCTTAAATATCTCTAAGCTTTCATATGCATCTATTTTTTAAGATTATCAACTTGCTCAACTAATTTGAGGTTATTAATATGTGTGTTATGATTGTGATTGAACATGTGTTCGGCTACACATTTATCTAACCTACCTTATGTAAAATATGCTAAGTGTTCTTTGAACCTTGTTTTATGGGACACCTGATTTGGCCTATATATGTTTTATCACAATCATTACAACTAATTTCATATATTCCTGACTTTTCAAGTGTGTCCACCTCATCTCTTGAATTTCCTAATAAATTGCCTAACTTTGACCCAGACTGATAAACGCTTTCCAAACCTTATCAAGTCCTCTTGTGTACTTTTGGGATTGAAGGGGATTGGGATTTTTCTCGAATTTTATCCGCTTGAAAAGTCGTAGAATTCCTGAGTGATAACTTGAATTTATGTCTACGTATTAATTTATCAACTATTCTGATATAATAAACATTGACGCCAGCCACTTCATCAACAGCACTCCTTTCAACATCGAATCATTGTTTGCTCAGAGGAAATGAAACTAGTCTATGTACTGAAAAGTTCAAACTTGCCATTTTGTATTGGAAACAGTGATTGGAGTCACTAAGACACTAACCGCGCAGTCAATATGTCTGTCATAGTCGAGTTTACATGTTAATTCTAATACTAAATCACTAAACTATAGAGGGCTATAGGGAATAAGTCTGTTATTATCCTTATCCATAACTCTCGCTATTACTATTCTTGAATATTTTCTAGGCTATAATTTCACTGATTCGAGATTATCAATGTGTGTCATGATTTTGATTGAAGATGGCGTTTGCGGCTACAGGTATTTCAACTATAAGTTCTCAAGTGTGTCCAATTAATCTTTTATTTGGTTAGTGGTGAAACAGTGTAGTGTGATTCCTTTTAGAGTTCATCTGATACACGGTACATTATATGTATGTTCCAGGAGCGAATATATAACTGGCTGGGCTTACGCCCAATCGAAGCTGGCTCAGGTTCTCTTCACGAACTACTTGGAGGATCTCCTGAGGCGAGAGGGGGCATTCGTGCAAGTGCATGCAGTCCATCCGGGAATCGTGAACACAGAACTGTTCGACGGGTCTTATCTGAAGAATATGGCCCCTTGGTTGCCCGCCTACTTCTTCAAGGTTAGTATACCGAGTGAAAACGAAATCATTGGTATTTGTATTGGTAGGTTGGATGGTGACAGATGCCCTGCGACCTAATTAGATCTATTGTGCCCCATCTGCTTCTGCTATATCAAGGATTTCTTGTTCATAGCAGCCCCTCGACATTCAATTCCTTCAGGATTTTGAGGGGGTCTAGTTGTGGTATTTCTTCCACAGTCAGCTGGTGTGTTCCCAGTATGTTCAATCTTTTGTGATGTACAGCGTCACACTCCATCAGTATGTGATGGGGTGTTTCTGATGGTTCTTCCCCACAGAATCTGCAGGTGCCGTCCTCCTGTAAGCCTAGCTTCCTTAGGTGTTCTTTGAGTCTGCAATGCCCCATTAGAAATCCCGTTATTGCTTTGAGACTTCCTTTGCTGAGGTTTGTCAGTGTCTTAGATCTTTGTCTGGCTCTCAAGGCTCCTTCCGCCTTTTCAAGTTCTCCTTGGAAATTTCCAAGGCCGCAGAATGGCTCTGGTCCGATCAGTGTCGTTGAAGCCCCTTGTAGTGCCAGAGTGTCTGCTTGTTCATTCCCCTATGCTCCATTCGCGCTTGTTGCTCAGCTCCACTCGGTGCAATCTCAGTGGGGGGTGAGCCCCTTGCACTGTGCGTTTTCCCTCTTAGTCCGACCTTGGCTAATCTGAGATGTGCTCCATAGGCAGTTCTCCTCACCACGATGTGTAGAGGTGTGAGATCTAAAATGACCTCTATCATTGGACAGGGCATCATTCAGTTAGTTCATGGTTAGTTCTTTTTCATTTTGGACTTTTGATATTTGGATTGAACACATAAAGTTGCGTTTTATTTGTTCCAATCTGGTAGCGGTGGTAGGAAAGAATGACGTTTACAAACAAAATGAGCACCTTCATGACCTTGCATGAGAGAATTGATACATTATAGAGGTGATAGAGGTTATATTTATTTATTGGGGCTCCAAATGATATCAAAATCATGAAACTAGAGTTATGAATCTAAAAACGAATCAAATAATATTTGAAGCAGTGATTGTGGAGATTGAAGAAACTCCTCTGCGATCGAGAGATTTCATTTTATCTGGCAATGAACATATGGAACCTGTTCACTAGAAAGGATCATAAACTTCTGAACCTCACGATAAAAAAGTCTTCTAAATGAAACCACACATTAACGTGATTCCCGTGGCGGAATCGGATAAATAAAACGCAACTTAAGTGCTCAAAGAATTAAGTGGCCCATTCGAATTTTCGACGTTTTTTAAAATGCGTAAACTTTTTTGCAAATCAACCGATTTTCAATCGGAATGTAGTGTTCAAAAGATGCGTCCTTTCTGTTTAGGATTCATTGCTCGAAACTTTTCGAAGTTTTCCAGTTATGCCATACCAAGTGATTGAAAAGAGTGTTACATAAGCCAAAAAGTCCAGGAGCTCCCGTATTCCCCAGGATTTTTTTCATCCTTCTGCAAATCAGCTTTCTCAAATCTTCAAGTCAATATCTCTAAATGGTTTTGTAATTTCTGACCTTCCTTATACAGGATGTGAGGTATCGATATTTTTCGTAAATCTGTATTTTTATGCATTTCTGTGGATTCAAAAATTTCAGGCGCTATTCAAACCGTATTTCACTGTAATACGATCGAATTAATTCCTGTTGAAGTTATCTACATAACTTTAAGAGCAGCAGAACTTTCGACAACAAAATGAGCGTTTTTTGAATAATGTATGAGATTTTGTGAAGTCACTACCTATCTACAGATAAATGCTTGACACGCTACGTCTCTTGTTTTAGTTAGGTTTATAAAACAAACATTTTTTCCGCCTACCTCTATTCAAAGTATACATTTCCTGGCTTCATTGTAGGAAGCAAAGTCTTACTTTTCCTCTCTAGGAAGGAAAAGTAAAAGTGACGTCATGGTACGTCGTCAATGAAATAACTCATACGGCATTGATTTCCTATACTCTAAACTATATATTTTATTATACAGAGGGTTATTCACGTTATTCGACACGAACCATTGTGCATGGCTAAAGCATTTGGTTTTTTGAATTTTTTTTCTCTGATGAATAGGGACTTATCAGCGCTACGGTTGGAAAATATTTTTATATTGTACAGGGTGTGCCAAAAACACGAAATGTATCAAAGTTGCTAGTTTTTAAATGGAATACCCTGCTGTATCTCATTGCATTTTTAGATTTTTCCTGAAGAGCTGATTCCATCGATTTATCACACTTGGGGTCTAGCGGAAATTGTTACAGAGATATAGGGTGTTGAAAATCGAGATTTTTCAATTTAGGATTTTTTTGTGTCGAATTTATTCAATATTGGTCAGAACGACTTACATATCCCTGTCTTGAATTTTGATTTTCTATCTACTGACATTTAATTGGAACATATACAGGATGGTTCAAGATTCAGAATTCTGATCAACCTGTATCGGTTCCAATTACTCTACCACAAATTAACAATATATGTAGGATGCATATATGTACCTAGTTCTGGGCGTTTTAGTTCCTCAATAAATTTTGTTAGTTAGTTTCATAAATAAAATATTTAAAAATTACTTGTTATTTGAGGAACACGGAAATAGTTATTTATCTAACAAGTGTGGAAAGTAGTACTTATCGTTGTCAAGGGTGGAACATACATTTTCGCAAAGTTTTTCCTACGAGTGTTCCATATTATCTATGAAAAAACAATTTTTAATCAACATAATTTTATAATGATGCTACAAAATGACACATGAGAGAAGAGAAGAATAGTTACATGGATCATTTAGTTAGTCCTAAATATCCTTATTTTCAACAATGCAAAAATCGTGCGGAAAATTAACTTTTCCGCACGATATTTACATGCACTGAAAAATAATGAACAAGATTTTTTTATCGATATAATAGAAAACTAATTTGAAGAACATTTGAATAACAATAACTAAAACATTAACGATGGTAGGTACACATTGAAATTGAATGTGCACTTTGTGTTTGTTGCATGCTGTAGTATAGCAGATGCCGCAACATCTTGAAGGACGTCGTTTCTTATTTGAATTTGATTGGTTAGCGTTAATAGTGTTTGGCCGTTACCACCGATAAAACAAGGCCAGCAGACTCTGACGTAAACAGCTCGTGACGTCGCATACTCAGGCCATCTTCCAAGGCATTCGCGTCGATCGATCGTCAGTTTGTTTTTGTTTAAGAACGGTGGCGTAGGTAAATCGCGTGTGCTCAAATTCTCTTGTTGTTTATTCATCAAAATAATTGGCGGAGAAATTACTGTTTTGTGAAATATTTCGTGTTGTGATAGGCGAAATAACAATGCCTTACAAGTGTTGTGTTCCCTTTTGTCGGGGGAATTATGTGGGTGGTCCAAATAAAGTTCATGCTTTTAGTTTCCCGTTGGACAGGGAACTATCGAAAAAGTGGGTACATGCAATTCACCGCAAGGATTTTACGACTCCATCTAAGTACAGTAAAGTATGTGAATTACATTTTACTAAAGATGATATTATTACTTCTTCTACTGCAACCGATTCAAAAACTGGCAAAACTGTAACAATAGATTTGAAAATTCCTAGACTCAAACGAGATGTTATTCCCACTCAATTTCCCAACTGTCCATCTTATTTATCGAAAGATGTAAAATTACGCACAAGTCGTGATGAAAAACTTGAGATACTAGAGACTAAAAATTTGGCACAAGCACTTACCAAAAGTAAAACTGAATTCGAAAATTACAAAAAACCATTTTGCTACACAGAATTTCAAGAATTTCTAGTTGTATTAGAGACTTTTCAGTTGCCCGAAAAGTGGTTCAAAATTATCGATTTGCAAAAAGTCAAATTATTCAAATTGTCTTATTCTCCAGGGCCCGTAATTACATATTCGGTTGTGATTGATTTTGTTTTGAATGTGGAATCATTTTTGTACGATCTAGCGATACAAACATCTCTAAAAGCCAATCTGAAAACACCTTTTATCTCTAATAATATCAATCAAATCAAGGAATTACTAATTGAAATAGATAAAAACGAGATACATAATTCGAGAAAATGTCTTGATAATCAGAAAAAGAGGGTTTTGAAACATATTTCGAATGCATTGGACTCTTTGGTTTCTGACTCAATACATTCTCAAATTTCTTTCTGAAAACGGTCATTTGCCTCGTGGCGTGGCAATGAATGCAGAATTCATTCCAATGATCAAATTGCAACTATTATATTAACATGTACTACAAACACTCTACTTAAAAATTACTGTTTCAAGTCTAACTACCAATTGGGTAAAAAATCCAACAACAGGAAATTGAAAACACTCACTGCCTAATTTTTTAGGTAATAGGAATTCTCCAGGATAAATATAGGTAATTAGGTATAACAAACGGCATGTCTATCAAACTAAAATACATTTTCCCCAATTTTCTTTCGATCAATCTCATGATAAGTTTATGTTCTGCAGGCCCTGTATAAGTAGGTGTGAAGTTTACCTCTAATTAGATTGAATCACTACAATTTTTGCCAATATATTTAATTCGAATGGGCTGCTGTAGGTGGGTATTTGTGTTTTATTCTGGTTTTTGCTTTGAAACTTCGTTTTTCCATAATAAAATCGAATGGGATGCGAAGAAGGGCTCAGTTGACAGCTGGCATCCTCTTTCACCCAGAAGCCCTTAAAAAAAAAGCAAAATCGGCTCAATAATGATCTAAAACTAAAATCGAAATACGCGGTCGCCTTATAGCGCTATAAGCGCTTGTCGTTTCGAGCCGCTGGTTAGGCCTGACTAAGCGACGTCACCCACGGAGCATGCAGGCCTTGTTTTATCGGTGGTAACGGTTTGGCCCACTACAGAAATGCCTTGATCAGTTTGGTGCTGAGAATTACTAGTGTATATAGTGAATGGAGGATGGTAGATTGGTCTGAAATGCTTATTGGTTGACAGCCACTACTGTATAGCGACTGTTGCTATGGTCACGTTCTGGTTCCAACACGTCTCCTGGTATTTCCTTCGAAATCGTGCGAAAAAGTAAAACTAATGCAAAAAAGTAAAATCGTACGGAAAAGTACAACTTTCAAAATGAAAAATCATGCGGAAAACTTACTTTTCTGCACGCTCTTAGGAAAAATCATATGTATAACACGGGGGTAAAGTAGCTTTTCCTCCCTTGAATTATTACTTCCCTCCGACTTAATCTTCGGAAGGAAAAGTAGCACATTCTTTCCTTGTTATACAAATAGCTTTATTTTGCGGACGTAATTATTTATGTAGGTGAGTGTAATAAATAGGCACCCTTCACAATAAAAACAAAAGGCCTGTGTCAAACATTTATCTGTAGATACTGAAACATTTCTCGAGAATTATGTAAATGCTTGAAAATGCATTTTTTAGAGTCCTGAACGAGGAGCTGTCCCCATAGTCTACGCCTGCCTTTCATCACAACTCGAGGGAAAAGGAGGAACCTACATAACGAATTGTGAAGTTTATCCTCCGAGTGAGATAGCGAAGTCGACAGAGTTGCAAAAGAAATTGTTCGATTTCACTAAAGACATTCTCAAAATCGAGGATTTTGGGAAGAAATGAAAATTAGTTGTAGCAGGGTGATCTATTTAAGAAACTGAAGAATGAGTTTAAATTGAAAGTGAAAAATGTACCGCCTGGTAACTCGATACTAATAATTCGGACAATTCCAGATGAACCTACTACATATTTTAATCGAGAAAACGTCTTTGAACACATACAAACTAGACCGCTTCCTTGTGAACAAAATAATTCATATCGTTTGATGTTATTGAATTTGGAATTATTATGTAGGTCTACACATTTGATAATATGCATGGCGTGAAAACAGTGGGTAATCATATACGATAATGAAGGTGTCTTTTCATGTTTATGCTTGTGTAGATATTTCCATTGTGAGTATTCTCACACAAAAAGGTCAAGAAAATGTCGAGTGTGTCAAGATCTTAACGGGCGAGTGGACTGATATTTAATTTTTGGCATTCAATTACTCCACTGTGTCGTAAGGAACTTAAATTAATTTTTGCAACACTTCTCACGCTTTTTTTATGTAAATAATGAGTCTATGCGTTGTTCTAAATCGTCGAATTCTAGAGCTCATTTCCAACGTAACGTCATGTTCGCCATTTGGCGATACGTCGAATAAAATAGTGACGTCAGTTTTTATGCTATTTCGTTATTGATCAGATAATCTTCCATTTTCAATAATGAAGCAAGGTGGTCATGTCACCAATTATAATCAAGTTATCAAAAAGATGTTTGAGTCCTGTCGTTGAATAAAACATAATAGGAGGAACTCAACTATAATTAGTTCATTCTCGACTTTTTCGAGCAACCACCCAGCGAGCACAAACATCCCAGCAAACATCGACAGGCGGTAGAAAGCCGGGCCCATGGCGAGAACGGCGGGCAAATGTCGATGTCGGCATGGCTCGAAAGGCCCTCCATATAATTTCGAAGGATTATGTGACGAAGGCAGAATGTAAACATAGTTATGATGGGCCTCTGTTTCCTAGCCGCTAGTCTTTCGCTGTATGTATTCAAGTCCAAGGGCCATCAAAATTTCAACGGAGTGTGCCATCATCACTCACTCAACGTTGGCATCCCTCGCTCGCGTGCGTTTTTATTTTGATCATTTTGCAGTGGTAACAATGATTCAGTATGGCGTATATTGATTTCTTTGTTTATGTTGTTTCAACACTCTCAACAGAGTTTTAGTACTGTGTTCAGTTCGTGTTTGGTTTTCTAGTGAATTTTTATACAAAATGGAAGGGCATTGACATAAATACAGAGTGAGTGAGGAACAAACATATATACAAACTTGCACAGCTAAATAATTCTCCAATTTTAGACAATAATTTCACAAACATCACCATTGGGCAAACAGATGCAATGATAGTTTGGACATGTTCAGCGGATACACAAGAATATAATGATATATGAGGACTGAAGATGCATGAGCTTTCATTACATATGAATCATGAATCTATTTTAGAAACGAAAATCGAAGAGTACCTACTTGAAGAAACAGTTATATTTCAAGAATTACTGTAGGTATGTATAATGTTGCATGTTCTGGATAGGTAGAGAATGAAATCATTAAATCTTTCAGCTACAAAATCAACAACGAGAAGCCCATCAATCACAGATATTAATGAAGAAATCATACAATGATTCAGATTATTATATAAATTTCTTCATGGTATATGATATCTCACTTCCAGGCAACACTTATATCAATATGATGAAGAGTAAGGTTCTCCATATCTGGGAATTGTTTTCTTGTGAATTGAACTCTATTGTTGACAATTACTTGATCAATATAATAACTGATTACCTACATAACTTTCAAGTTATTTGGTAGGTACATAGGTGAAGTAATTTTTGACCTAGAGCTAGCAACTTTTTGAAACAAGTGGAAAAACAAATATCTATCCTGCATGATGAAACATATAAATACATATATTATTGGAAATTGTAGGTACCTTTTTATAATGAGTATATACAGAGTGATAAGTAGAACTAGAATTAAGATGTTTGATGTTTCCACAGTTGTGATATGTATTGGTTGTGATCATGGCAATATTATACACACATGGATATATTCAGTTCTTGTTTTTGTATGGGGTATATATACTGCTAGTTTCCTGGAAATAACTGTGATATCAAGATGCCATCTCACGGATTTTCATGTAATCATTCAACAACTTCAGGTAAGGAGTGAATTGCACATTTCTGTTATACCCAGAAGATTCACAAAAAACTCCTCAAAAGACCTCAATTTTATTCTTTGAAGTTCCACATTTTTCAACCAGTTTGAAGATAAAGAGAGTAGTGCAAATCTGTGTGAAAATAAGATACGTTGCTTTCCAAGTGGTGATGATATAAACTGGGATCAAAAAACCTATTTTCACCGAGATATATGTATTACCCTGTATATCTTTTGACAAACCTAGTTGAAAAATTGGACATCAAAAACAGAATACCATGAATATTGAATTCATTCAACCCCGTTAACCAACGGCCCTGAAAAACTCCTCTATCGGGGAAATAAGAATACTCAAGCGGCCAATTAATGGCAGTCTCTGAAAATTCCCAATCGGGCCGAAAATATGCCATGAATGCAGTACATTTGAGTACTTGCTTCTGCCCACCAGAAGCCCTGCAATGTAATAAGCGGCATACTGATGGCTCTAGAGAGGCGGTCGGCTGTCGGCCGCCGGGACACGGGCTAGCCGGCCCAATTTAGTTGTACCTTAAAGGACCGCTGTTACCGCTCGCCGGCAAGTTTTATTGTACCTTTAGAGGGCCGCAAAAATCATGTTTGCTGGGATCCCTGGGATGTTTTGAAAATGTTGGCATGAAGATGTTATTTTGAGACGTAATATGCACTTACCAAAGAGGTCTTTGAAGGATATTGAAGTATTGTTTTTGTTCTTTTGTGGCATTTCTTTGTTTGCCTACTGAGAGGTATCCCTGGGATGTTTTGGGATGTTTTAGAAATGTAGGCATGAGGATGTTTTTTTGAGGCGTAATATGCACTTCTCAAAGAGGTCTGAGAAGGATATTGGAAGTATCGTTTTTGTTCTTTTGTGCCCTTTCTTTGTTTGCCCCACCACAACGTCTCATGCTTACGTCACAATACGATGAATTCTGATTTGTTTTCGATTTTGTTCTTCTTGTTCGCAATTGGCATTCGCGTTTGCAGCGTGTCACGCTTACATCACGCTGCTAACGAACAGAAAGGAATTTGGTGAAGTTTATTTTGTGTCAGAAGACTTATTCAGTTTGTAATAATGACCATCAGATGCAAGATGTGTTGTTCGGTGCCTCAGTGTAATCAATATATAAAAGTACGAATTCATCAATACACAGCTTCTCCGCAGTTGCAAAATTATGCATTGTGGAGAACATTTCAAAAATTGGGAAACCTATTTTCAATTATATGTCTGTGTGTAGTAATCACTACTCAGAAACCGATTAAGAAGGTAATTTCATATCAAGAAAATATTTTTATGTTCAATCTATTTTTAATGCATTTTTTCATTCACGGGAAATGGAATCCTAATGCAAAAGTTCATTTTGACAAAAGGCTTCAGAAAAGTACCTCGAAAATGTTTTTTTTACAGCGATTTAATGTGCGCAAGACGCGTTGAAAATGTTCTGTTGGGACCATGAAAAGGCTTTAAAAAGAACTACGGAGAAGGTAGTTTTGTGACATATCAAGGACATCTCGATAATTGCCGCCTGCGGCGGACATTGGCTGTTCTATAATAGTCCTATTCATGTGTGAACAGAACATCGCAGTGGAGGTTCAATGTGTCGAAATCTCGTACTTTTAACATCTCTGAGATGTTTTTGTGCTCGCTGGGCAGCATGTCCAAATATTTCTTACTCTCCATTAGAAAATATCATGTGAATGTTGGAGACGTGGCAACATTGTGCTGAATGCTGAGAACTGACAAGACCACGCCACAGGTCGGGCGCGGGGTTGCCACGTTCACCGATTCAAATGTCCTCTAGTGTGAATTAATATAATAATTATTTACACAAATTTATTATAAGCAATAAGCCACAAATAATAAGTGAACATTTTAAGACAATTGAATTTCCATTGCTAATTAGGAATATCACCTATACTAGCCGTTTGAAAATTACCGAGGCATTATCGATGATTTTAGCACCTGAAAATCGACCGAAAAATTCTTTAAAAATGTGTAATTGAAAGGTATTTGACTGATGATTCTATTTAAGAAATAAAAAAAATAGTCTACTCGCCTATTGGGTCCGTAAATGACCGAGCGTTGAAAGGGTCCATAGAATCTTATTGCAAATTATGATGTACCTACCTGATAATATTACTGCGAATTGGAATACTGGGTGTTCGAGTGCTCTAAGGCGCTTTTTTACGGCGTTTCATCGCATTTCTAAGTTTTAATTGATATCATAAATTTATTCGGATTGCTCAAAAACTTTGCAGGCACTTTCTCAAATGGTAATAAAATAATACCTACACCTCCTTTTTCCCAGTCTTACATAGATCACCCTGAAGATATACAAGAAAGTACAGTTTTGAACTTTTCTACTTTGGAAAGTTGTATAGGATGTTCTCGAAGATGAGGCATTTATTTTAGCAGAATGTAGAAGTCCCAAGAAGAATCACCAATTATTACAAAATAAAAACGAAAATGAACTGTAATTTGGAACTAAGAGAATGTGAATACAGTGGTCATCATTTGTTATGTATAGTATCAGAGAATTGGTACTACGTTTGAATAAGTGTTCTTGTTATTTTGTTTTAAGTTTATTTTAAAACGGCACATGTTTATGAAAACAATGACTTGCATAAATTTTCACATGTCAGATTCTCACTATCTTCAGATAACGAACCGTGTTGAACGGGCAAGAACAACTCCTTTGAAGCCTTCATTTTCCAAAATAATCGACATTGACAAAGGACAATTATGTTTAAATAAATGCCTCGATTTTGAAATTCAAATGTGGAAACGTCAAGACAGAATGAACACATTTTATGAGGGAAAATAATTTAAAAATATGTTACCTATGAATGAAAAACACTTTTCATTTTATTTTAAAATTGTATCATTTTATAATTGATGGATCTGCTATAGGTTTTCCAGTATTTTTTACGATACCTTGAATGTCCGTGAATTTTTAAACTTGCCGTCCAAAGAGTATTATGAACTGTTATACTATAACGATGATAATAAAAAATGATATATTTATATTTGAATATGATACTTTTATTTTTTTAACTACAATGTATGCAGGCTGTTGGTTTACCGAATATGACAATTGCATTGATAAACTTCCCTGAAAATTGAGGGTACATTTCCTGATGACTTGATAGAATAATATAGTTGAACACAAAAACTCGAAAAAATAGTATATTGTTTAACGAGCTCGGAATGATAGTGATTTCCCACGAGAATTAAGTTTGCAGCATGAGCCGTGGGAAATTAGCATTCCGTGCGAATTATACACTACAATTTTTCTTCGGCTGTAATAGATAGCAGAGGCATTTTTGATTTCTTCGTCTTGTAAATTTGCCATTCCATGGGCGATGATATTTTTTTTAAATTACGAAAAAGAAATATTCAAACTTCGTCCGAATAGGTAATAGATTGTACTCATGGATGGAAGTAATATGCTTAAAACTAAATGGACCTAATGAAAGTATCAATCTTCTTAATAATTTTTATTTTGTTACATACTCTTTGGCTGATAACGATTAGTGAGTATATTCATCTCAGGACTCTCAATCAATTCGAAATACCACTAAAAATATTATGTGTGTATGTATAAGGAGGCAAATATAAACACATAACATATAGGTACATAGTTTGTTTCATGACTCATTGCGTGTGCATAACAATTACTTCAAAAGAATCAAGTCAAATTTGAAGTGTCAGTAAGACTGTGACGTGTTGACTTTGTTTCACTCACACTATATACCTTGAATTGATTCAATTTATTGCCTTCAGTTGAACACACGAAACAACCGAAAAAAAAAAAAACGAAACTCATAGGAAAAGTATGACTTTGTTAACCTGATGATGAGCTTCAAGATCAACATACTCAGCAATATAAATATACAAAGAAATTATTTAAAAAAAATGCCATCCATTTCCTATATCAACAATCATAAATGGACATGACTAGGCCTGGGAAAAAATCTCGATATATTGATAAATGTATCGATATACCGATACATCGACTAACTATATAAAATTTCAAAAATATCAATATATCGGTATATCGATTACTATAGAATTATCTATATATTGATAACTGAAGAATTTTTTCTCAATATATTGGAATAAATAAATTTATTATTTTTTTCGCCTTCGTAATATCCAGACAATACATAGTTATAATATTTTTGAAATTAATTTTAATTTTTTGTTGTTAAGATTTGTTCAGGCATGAAAATATATTGCGCAAGTAGGTAGGTAGATTTTATGCTTTTCAATTAGTTTGGTTGAAGATTCTGTAAACTTTGGTTTGGACAAAAAATAAGATCATTTTGAGTTAGGTCTGGAAAAATCGAACCTATCGATATGACTTATCGATAATTCAATATCGCGCAGCCCTAGTCATGACACAATCGAAATGAAGTGCACTCAGAATAACTTGACCGTGTTCACTGTTCATTATATGAATTCACTACTTAGTAAATGAGTGGTTTCCTATGCATTTCTGATTGTAAATACGAGAAACAAAGAATGTGAGGAATTAGTCTCTACTCAAAAAACAAACATACGGTATTTGAATAAAAAATTACATATTAATTAATATTACCTACACCAACTTATGTGCAGAAATTATTCTATTAGGTTTGTTCTCGTTCGAAAAATAAACAGTCCGAAACCATCGAAAGCATTCGCAGTTTCACGGAACATGAAAAACTCCAATAGTTCTATGAAACTGCGCATGCTCCTGATGGTTTCAGACTGTTTGTTTTCCGAACGATAACAAACCTATTATCGCTAACAGTACGATTCAATAAGTACTTTGAACAAAGTTTAAAGCTAATAGCAACGGTTAACAACCAAAATTAGTTTGATCTTATTTCAGAGTTATGGATAGCAAAATACAATACATATAATAAATTTTCAATGCACCTATTTGGTAACTTTTTAGAGAATTGTATTGAAAAAAGTTCAAATTGAGTTTCGATATGGTGCATACGATGATGAAGTATGTATTTTGTATTAATGTTTACTGTACATGATCTCATTTCAACTAGACATTTTCAATTTTGTGATGATTTTTAACTGATTACAAGAATATTTTGAACTATCCAAAGAATTCTGTCGGATCGAAATAAATATTCATTTATGTCACTCCCATATTTGAGATAAGAGTTTGAAATATTTTTCTAGTTTATCGACAACTTAACGTCAAGTGTATAACATTCAATATGAACTCACAACGACCAATATAATTTCAATGTTTCATATCTTACAAAATTAATGTTAAACCAATTAAGTACATGTATCTAATACTGGAAACAAATGTATACTTACTACTTATTTATTATGAATGCTTAAATCACCACTATCAGTGCAATTTGATAAAAAATACGTTACAGTAGAAACGCAATCCATGATTTTGAAATACATTTACTGCAGATTCCGCATACCAAAAATACCTTAAATTTAGCCTTAAATTCAACTTCTTTTTTTTAGAAAATTCATCATATTGATGATGTTCACTGTTCAGTATGTGGCATTTTCCTCAAAAACTTTGTGAATCAAGTGGTGTTATTTTTGTATTGGGCTAAGTAGTTATTGCGCGGTAAATTAAACACCGTCTATCACAAAATTCAAAAGATTATTACTGAAAATTAGTGATTTGATCAATTTCCTATGAAAATAAAGTAAAAACTTGCAGGAATTCAAAATTTTCACACAACCTCGAATTAGTATTTTCAAGTTCTATCGATTCCTGGAGTAAAAGCCATTAAAACTTGGTCGCCCTGTATATAAATATGGAAGTATACTAGATGTAGTTCACCAGCGGAATACAAGGATTTTTGTTCCATTCATGGTAGTGGAATGCTGATGACGAGGTTCTAGTGTTTGTCTACATGATAATGGTACAAGAGACAGAGGTAATAAGTTATGCATTTATCATTTAAAAGACCCCAAATAGGATAAAGAGGACCCAAAGTATGTAGGCATCAAATTATGCAACAAATTAGATGAATACAATGAATCAGTTCAAGAATTTTTTTTTTTCAATTGCATTTCCTCGTTGGACCCAGCACTGGATCCAACGCCCCATAAGTCGAAACTTGTGCGGGGTTAGGAGAGCATACATTTACAAACATCCATGGCCTAACTGGGATTCGAACCCATGCCTCGGTGGGAGACCCCATACGAACTCAGCGCCTTCGCGCTCTCGACCACCGGGCCGAGAAGAATAGATTGAATACCTCTTAATAGTCAAGACACTCTACAGTATTGAGGAACTTTCTCTAAAAGTTGATCTAACAAAATTCAGTAATACTTGGCTGTGTATAAAACCAGTGATGAGTAAATGTTTTCTTGTGTAGTAGTTACTATAATTAATCATCAAGAGTGTTAGTTTTTGTAAACATGTTTCCTATATGTATCTGTAATGTTTCTATATAGGTTTCTTTTTTTGTGACAAGCTGGACAAGATGTGAATAATGTTTTTTGTACACCATTTTTTACACTTTATTCTGGCAATAAACATGATTCGATCTGATGAAACATTTTTGAGACCTCAAAAATCCTCTCAGAATCGCTAGCTCTCGATGGCATGATAAACCGATACGCACCACTACCAATAGTGTCAAATTTCTCAACAACCAATGTATCCATGTATTTCACATAGAAATAGGAATTCAATTCCACAGTAGGAGTGTACTGATACACACATTACAAAAATTGTATATCATATTGTCCCGCATATCTCAGGTTATGAAATATCGTGAATTTCAATAAATATTTGAAAAATGAAAAAGCTCTAAGAAAAAAACGGATTGGCGACAGTGAACTAGTTTGGGTTAGTTCTTCAAAATAATGAAATGAAAATTCAACAAAGACTGCATAAACTTCATGAATATTGCAACATTTTGTATATGCCGATTGTTACCATATTCTTCTCTAATATATTTCAAAATCAGGGATCTTCACCATACATATATTTACAAAGTGTGGTTTCTTACATATTGTATAGTGATGCTAATTAGACCATATTAATGATTGACGTGTTCATTTGAAAACGAACAAAATTCAAGAAACTGATACATGAAATAGGCCACCCCCAATAAATCTACAGGTATTCATTTAAAGGTCGAATTTTGTATTTTTTTGCTGACAATACGATCATTTGCAAATGCACACGTGACTATACAAGAAAATAATATAAAATAGTAAAAAACGGAATGATAATACATAGAAGAGATATAACAGACAATAGTTAATATATTAAAATACTTATAAATTCGTTTGTATAAATAATAAGGTAGGTTTAACTTAACAGCTGCCATTTGTTCGAATATTTTGTAGGTTGGGATGATATTTTTCCACAAATATTTATGTTGAGAAAAAAAAATAATCTACACAAAAGGTTGATTTGGAATTGAATATGTTACTACACTAGAAATTATAATTTCAGGGGCCCAACATCAGTACAAATAATACACTTTTTTCAGTCGTAGTTCACTACCAAGTTTCAACATTTTTATAAACTATTTTATAAATTCATATTCAATGCAATATCCCAATATCCGCATGCGAGAATTCAACTGTCCAATCAGTCATAAGGTGGAGAAAGGTGAAAGAAAATAAAAATCCCATCACAAATCAATCATCTTTCTTAATGAATATTCAGGGCAAAAAGAATCGAAGTTCCGAACTTATATCTAACCAAATCACACCACAAACAGTGTAGCTGAAATAATTGACTGCTGAAATTGGGTGCCAAACCTGGCTGTGAAACTTAGTTTAGAACGTTGAAAGGATGAGACTTGGACTGGATTCAAAACAGGATATGAGATAGATACAGAACATTTTCGGCAGTGTTTTGAGTGATCACATTATATATATTCATAACAGTTTTGAAGTAACATACATTTATTGAAAGTTAAATTCAACGAATGTCAGCTATTTTGCCATTAGAATAGAATAGAATGCCTTCATTTATCCAAAAAGATCATACAGTTATGATATAGGATATTGGACAAGTCATGAAAGTTTTCCACTATTTTTATTATCACTTAAACTAATGACCAATCATCTATCCTCATATGTTCATACTTAAATGCGCTCATCACCATTCACACAAATCATTTACCGATTCTAAAAAGAGTACTGAAGGTACTCTCTTACGGTAGATCCTTGGGAATGTTATTTGCCAAAAAGTTGACTGGATTTGATAAAGATGATGTTTTTAATATCAAAAAACAACTTTTAGCATTTTCGTTACAGCAACCAAAAAAATACCTATAGTGATGTTTGACCCTTGAACTTAAGCTAGTGCAACCAATCTCAAACTTCTCATATAAACAATGGATCATCATACCCTCCACAAATACACTCGAGATATTTGAGATGAATCATTCAAAGAATTGATCAAATTTACCTCTTGTTGCACTCAAATGAATGATTTACATTGTCATTTTTTATATGTTCATGGATTTCACAATTTAAAGGACTTCCTACCATGCGAATGTCAATGATTTGCTGCAAAATCAAAATTCTAATAAGCTTAAAACGTAATTTCATCAGCGCACCTAAATTTGTTTCGAAATTTGAACGATTCAGCTAAAAAGTGTAGTTGAATAATTAAGAGGAAACATCACAAAATGTATTTCATATTTCCCACGTCCTTATTGGTCGAATGGAACACGTGAAATATGTTTGTAATACATGCAAAAGTCATCACAGAAAGAATTGGCATTTTCGTATAGAGCAGTTCAGCTACCGTTGAGAGAGAAAAAAAATGTCTTCCCATCTGTCCTTGTCTTCAGTGTTCCAACATGAAATAATGAAAATCTTATGTTGCCAACACTGGAAATGAGAAGAAATGGAGAAGAAGACCGTTCTAACCTTCTTTTATATCGAGGTTAATATGATATTCTTCTCCATTTTTTCCCATTTCCAATGATGCCAACATAATATTTTCATTACTTTATGTTGGAACACTGAAGACAAGGACAGATGGGGAAGACATTTTTTTTCTCTCTCAACGGTAGCTGAACTGCTCTATTGCATTATTTGGTGGAGTGTAACTCCGCCAATTACAAACGATGAAAAGTAATTAACCTCCAAAACAAAAAACATGCTATTTGTAATTGAATCACTTTGCCTTATGGCTTCATTCCTGTAGGTTTTGAAAATCCTCATTGTTTTCATAGCAGATTCAAATATCTCCATATTTTAATGAATACTTTTTTTCTAAAACCAACAGGAATGAAAGTTATACGCCAAAACCTAATTTCGGCCGCCATTTTTTCAAGATGGCAACACGTGCTATGGTCGAACCTAGGGTACGATCCTGCCAGGTTTCGTCTGTCCATAACCTTTTTGAACCTTAAATCGTCTCACTGAACTATTTTTGACGCAACTTCAACATTGTGTTTGTAGAAGAACAAACTTTATTGAGTTGACCTCAACAGCATTGACCCTTAGAAGATGGCCATGTGTTGAAGGATAGTAGAGAGCTCAGAACGCATCATTCATATAACTTTTCTCAGAATTAAATCACTCATAACCTAGAAATGTTCAAGTGATCTATTGAGACCAATGAGGATATGGGATACATTTCATGATTTTGCCTCTCCATCGATGGCAATAGCTTTTAATTAGTCAATGGAATAATGGAAATAATTGGAAATGATTATTTCAGTTCAGTAGAATATAAAATACTTCAACAAAGTTTCGTTCTGACTAGTAAAAATGAGTACTGTTAAAGGAAAATAGAGCACCAATTCAAAAAATTACAGTACCTGAGCAACAGGGTTGAGGACTATTACTCAGTTGAACCTACCACTACAACAACTAGAGTCGCTAATTGGTGTAGTTGTACCATTGATGTTTTGGTGATTGGAATTATACCTTGGCAAATCTCTGCTTCGCGCCTGCTAAAAAGATAAGGGCAGATAATAAATAAAGATACTCACGTTTCAGAGGCTACTCAGGGACCAAGATTATATCCCCAGGCTTCAGCCGAGGGTTATAAGATCCCGTGGTAATAATATTCTTTACTACTAAGGTGTATATCACATTTTTTTCATCACTAGCAATACATTTTAATCATTTTGGTTCTGTGAAACTGAAATATAAACCTATTGTCACTATGAAAGCACTCCTCTTCAATTCCAATTAAAATCTAGTACCCATTACCATGACAGCATATGACAAGTCGTTGCTGATAAATACCTACTAGATTCGAGTGTCATTATTGAGAACCTCGCATAAGAACAGTGAATTTGGGTTAATTATAACAGAGGCGGCTATGTCATTATTGACTAGTAGTTAATAAAATGACGAAAACTACCTTGGTAGAACACACTTTACGCCTCGAAAAGGAGTAAATAATGGTAGGTTTTATAGTTAGCGGTGAAAAAAAAAATTACATTATATAATGGAGCAAGCTTTCGCTAGATAAATTCTCATGAGGTTATGATAAATATACTTCTACCATACTATCAAGAATGTGTATGGAAAAGATTCAAGAGCTATTCTTGAAGAGAGTAAGGCAATTCACGAATTTCAACATATAACCTACCTATATGGGGTGAGTGAAAAATGTGAACCGAGCCTTCTGGAGGTGATAGAACATTGAAAAATAAGTAAGAAATGTATATTGAGGGAGATATATTCTTCCAAAGTTGATAAAATTGAAATGATTTTACCGCATAACTTCTATACGGTAAAAGCCACCAGATTGAAATTTCCTGCATAAAGGAATGTTGATGAAATACATTTTTCTGATACACTTCTACATATCTAATATTGTTATAGAGGGTGTTTTTCGAGGTGTTTTTTAGAGAGTGGGACATGATTTTTTGAAGGCAACTTTTTTCCTCCTATTCTTTTTCGTGGAAAATAGAAGAAACAGAAGCATAGAGCGAAAACAATCAACGGTACTCTTATCAGAATACGAAAATTGTAACCGTTTTGTGGTCACATGATATCAACAGATTAATTCATCAGTAACAATATATTAGGCCATGATCAATTTTATTTTTAATTTTGACGTTTGTGACACGAACACTGTTATTGTTGATTTCCTTGTGTAGTTTTTGCTCCGTAATAATATCACTACGATTATCAACTGGGATTTCAAGAAATTGCAGATTATTCGTTATGCCGAGATGTTTCCCGTTCGACGTGTTCCAGATTATAACACAATTTTGAGGATTGTGCAAAGATTGCGTGAAAAATAATATGTTAAAACAAATAATAGAGATGACGTCCGACCAAGAAGTTCGAGGCCTCCTGAAATGTTATAACATTAAATTATATGCTAATATCATGTCACTACAAAAACTCAAATATCTCGAAAACGGCTACAATTTGTGAATTTTGATAGGAGTACCGTTTTATTGTAATTTTTTCGCTCTGTCGAGTACGAGGAAAAATGTTGTCTTCAAAAAATCATGACCTACCATCCAAAATCATCCTTCATAACAATATCAGAATTGTATAGGGAAAATGTATTTTATCACCATACATTTATGCAGGAAATTTCATTCTGGTGGCTTTTACCATTTAGAAGTTATGCGGGAATTTTATCACCTTTGGAAGGATATATCTCGCTTAATATACATTTTGGTCTATTAGCTTATTCATCACATCAAACTATACTTATTTTTCAGATTTCTATCACCTCAAGAAAGCACGGTACACATTTTTGACTCACCTTGTACTATAAGTAACATTCTGAAATACTTCGAAAAAACAAAAAAACTTCAAATCTGTGAACTGAAGGAATTCACAGAGGTTTATGGTGAATGTATGCACAACTTATAACATCCTAATGGGTTGATTTTAGGAAGGAATCATTGAATCATAGTGCTGAATACCATATTTATGGGAAAATTATTCTAAAACAAGCAGCACATGTGCTTTGATCAATAAAAGCAAAAGGGTGTAAGGTAGTTTTATCGGTAGTTTCTCGCTACGGCCGACCAATACCGATATTTATATCAGCCTATTAGTTATATTGGTCTTATTGGCCGATTATCGCATTGGCCAATATAGAAATCCGATAGACCCATACATTTTTTAAATTGGGAAACAAATTCAAATACAAAAAATAACTAAAGAAACACCTTGCATTAAAATCATAACAATGATTGTTTGGCTAGAAATTCAAGATAAATACAATGAATCTTTGTGGATTGCAACTGTAAGGTGAAATACAAGCATATCATATTCAGCCATATCGAGAAATTTCCAAGCCATACAGTACGAATCATGCCGAAAAGAAACGAACGGCAGATAGGCCGATATATCGGGGAGAGTGGTATATAGTGGGACATGTTAGTATATAATAATAATAATAATAATAATAAATGCTTTTATTGTCTCAAAAGAACAATAGGCAGAGCTGAACTCGCCGATAAATCGACAGTTGCTCTTCCATAATGTGCGACATACTCTCTATATGCCATCCATTTGATATTAGCTGGAATTCGAGATAGAAATCAGCACAAATTAGCAAAAATGCCCCATCATCGGTTTTGTCTTTTAGTTGCCCAGGTATTTGTTTTGAAATACTTTGATATTGAATTTTGCAGTTGTGTTCAATTGATGTATTCATAGCAGTAATGAATGGGTCACTTTTTATCAATGTCCCTCTATATACCATGGGGTGGTTCATAAATGGATATGTGGTGTATATGGGGACATGAATTTTCATTCAGAAAAAATAAATGATCATAGTAATTCATTCGTAAATTCCTAACATAAAACCAACTAGAATGTTGTGTGGAAGTTTCAAAACTCCAAGTTGAAAAAGGACGAAAAAAATCGTCTCTGTATACACCATTCTCCCTATTTGAAATATCGGTAATGATGGATTATCGATATCGGCTAAAATTTTTATATTCCTTGATCCCTACTTCTCGCATGTAATAAATTGTGATGACTGTCACATGAAATATACATATACCGGACAAATACGTGGAAATATAGGAACCAGATTCGAAGAACATATTTTTCATGTCAGATTTAGTCAGCTTGATTAATCAAATGTAGCCAACATATTATTGAGACATGACATATAAGAACAGCAAGTACCATATTCATTCAGCAGTCATCTGGACATGATAGTGCAAGATATTTCGAAATGAGGATATCCAATTACAAATGATAAGAAAAATCAAGTCACAGAAATTGCCACATGATACAACTCATATAAACGGGTCTCAAACATTTTTTTGAAAAATAGTTTCTTTGTCAATACTGTAAAATTCCTTCACCAAATTTTGTTCACCAACTAAAATATTGAAGCAACTTTTTAGGATTTGTGAAAGAACAAAATTTTCTCAAGGGCATTCAGACAGAGGCACAAACATATAAAAATACTGAAGGAATTGAACGTTTTGGAAATATAACATCTCAACTCAGGTATATGACAACTCATTTCCCAAAAGATGTTTCAATATTATCAATGTGGTAGATATTTCGAATATATCATTTTATGAAGACTAAGAATATATATTAGCCCATGATTTTGGAGCCTATGCAATACTTATGAAAAGAAAAGTAACTCACTTTCATTAGGTCCTCAGCTATTTGCATGAAAAGTCTCTCAACATTATCAGATTGTTTTGCTGAAGTCTCCAGGTAGTACATATTGTGCCTTTCTGCAAATTCTTCACCTACATGGGTAGGTATTTCTCTATCTTCCCTATCAATTTTATTACCTGAGAAGCCAAGGTTGATAAAAGTGTAAGAACCAAAGTAAGTAACTTAGCATAATAAAAGTTATAAAAAAATGTTTGCCTGGAAAAATCCTGGCCAGTCTATAATTGATTAGAAACTCCAAAATCACTTTTTGTATTCCTACCGTTGTTTTGCCATAAACATTATTTATAGAAAATATATATAATACCACAAGTATTAATATTTTGCCGGAAATATTCGGTGATTGTTACGACAGCTTGTTGCCTAGTAATTTCGTGAATGACATTGTTATCAAAACTACGAGCCGTAGGCGAGTAGTTTTGGATCAATGTCATGAGCGAAATCAGAGCAGCAAGCTGGAGTATGTCAATCGACGAATATTTCCAGGAAAAATAGTATCACGAGTTGTATTCGTATGACTATTTCATGATTGAATGAGACAATATATATAAGAAATAGGAAACATAATTTAAGTATATTCCAACTCAAACTGCGAAGAAGAACATAATGATAGTAATGAAATACAGAATTCAATTTTTTAGAAATTAACTACCTACTTATAGTTATTCACAAAGTGGAATGTACAATTTTGATGAACAGTATTTTGTTTATTATCTTGGAGATGGTTGCTCTCAAAAGAGTGTATACATTTGCTATCCAATTCGAACAATAGTTATTTTTGTATCTAGAGCGCGAAATGCTACTTTGGTGATCGAGATCTGATTTTTTCAACGAGGCGTAGCCGAGTTGAAAAAATAGTCGAGATGACCAAAGTATTTCGCGCTCGAGTTGCAAACAACATTTTTTCTACAAACGTCAAAAAATATAGTTCTAAAGTAAGAATATGAACTGACTTAGAAGGCCTCCCCCTATCCTCCCTAGGTACGCATGATGTTCCACGAACATAATAGGAATTTACTTTCGTGCGCTCCAAGAGATAAAACAAAGTTATTGTTGAACATTCAGAGATAAATGATTTCGTGGTTGTTTGCTCGATTGAGGACCATAAAGTTGAAATATAAATATCTCATATATTTTACATAACAATGCGCGAAGTAGGTACTTCGCGCACTGTTTTACTTCGCACATTGTTTTGTACAAGGTATCATGGTAACGAAGGAAACCGAAAAAAAGTGTCACTTCGCATTTTGTTATCAATGCGCGAACCTTGTCATTTTTTGACGTTTGTACAAAAAATAAATTGAATTTATGTGACATGAAATAATTTTAAAAAAATTATTGTCGCCGACGGGCTTGAACCACCGACCTTCGTATCACCGCGCAACAACCCTATCAGTTGAGCCACATCACCTGGATTATATTAGTCACAATAACTTGAGTGACTGAAGAAGATTACTTTAAAAAGGAATTTGAATTCTAGTATTGTTGTCAGACCGTCAACAAATATGCAAACTTATTAAATTACACATGAAACGTCCAGCCAGAATGAAATTGTCTCGCCTTTCGTACAAAATGTTTCACTAACGCGAATTATAAGTAAATAAAATGAAGTAGGTTCTTAGGTTATTGTCTCTTGTGTCAGATTTGAATACAAAGCAATCTTGACCAGACACGATGTCAAAATTTTATCGCTGATAAACGAGGTTTGTTGGTCACGTGTGGGTCAATTCGGCTTCTGTATTGGTAGAGCAAGTCCGATAAAATTTAATAAACAAAAAATATCGCTAGAAAACAGAAGAAACCGTGAAAATGGTCGATTCTGATTGGTTCTCGAGATCAAGAGTGGAATAGTCAATAAAATATTTATCGACACACCTTCATTATTTTATTTTCACTTATTTTTAGTTTGGCTATTCATGAAAGGGTGTTTCCTTATTTTTTCAAACTATTCTATTTATTTTCTACTTTTTTTCAGTTCAGCAATCTTCATGTTTCTGAACTTCTCTTTATTTTCGACTTCTTATCAGTTTGTCTATCTATAAAAGAGTGTTCCTACTTCCTTTTTTATTGGCCTCGAGTGGTATCTATAGAAGCGTACGTATATCATTAAACTTTTACAAACTACTATTCATTACAAATTTCGTTGGCCATATTGGATCCGCCATCTTGAATTTCTCAATTATGAATAAAAACAGATACAAATTATGAATAGAATCGGATCATACATCCGAACTTTTCCGCCATATTGGATCCGCCATCTTCAATTCTCCAATTCTGACAAAGGGATCATAATCTCCGACCCCGAAAATCCCCAGATGACAATTTTTAATAGAATCGGATCATAATTGCAGAACTCGTCGGCCATATTGGATCCATCTTGAATTATAAAATTTTGACGAACCAAAATCCCTGAGCCCGAAAACCCCCCAGATACCTATTTTCAATAGAGTCAGATGGTAATTACAAAACTTGTTTGCCATATTGTATCCGCCATTTTGAATTTCAGAATTTTAACGAAAGAATAATAATCTCCGACCCCGAAAACTCCCAGATACGAATTTTAGATGAAATCGGATTACATAACTCTTCTGCAATATTGGATACGCCATATTCAATTCTCAATTTCAAAAATAGCTTACGACCCATTCCCAGACCTACCGAATATGCACAAAAATTTCCATAAAAATCAGCTGAGCCGTTTCGGAGGAGTTTGACAACAAATACCATGACAGAGACAGGAGAATTTTATATACTGGATATATTTATATTCATGGTGCAGTATAATGAAATTTTGGTACTGAACAAAATATCCTTAGTGTTGGTTTTTTATTTGAAATTTTCGACGATTCATTTTTTCATTTTTATTTACTGTCTTGAGAAAAGATCATATTCCAGACATTTGTACACTCTAATGCAGCATTGATAATTTAATACACGTATTTAAAATATTTTCAAATTATTATATTTTTAATCTATGATCTAACATATAACAACTGCTCCAAAGTATTGTTGTTCACTAGTTTATCCCTATGATTTTCTATTGCATGAACTACTAACATGCACTCTCTTCAATTCTGCCGTCACACTGTGCACAACTTCAACTCTGTCTTCATCTATGGCACGGGATATTTGTGTAAATTAAAAAAAATTGTTCTAAAATTGTTCTATCCGTCATTCGGTCGGACCTCTTTGTCGCACGTTCACAGTGGCACTAAAATTGTATTTTTTAAAATGCAACAACCATTATTCAGGACATACTTTTTGTTGGCAACCATATATTATTGTGTTTGCAATAGAACATTGCTTATTTTTATGTTCATTTTATAGATTATTTTAGTAGGTGAAAATAACTATATAGTAATATAGTACTAAAATACTTACTAATTTATACCTGGCAACTCAATAGTCAGACCAGGAAAAATATAAGCCACCCTACATTTGCATATTCTGTAGGCTTTGTACTTATGGTTGGTGTAACATTCTTTCATTATACTCATATCAGTAGAAATAAAAAAAAAGTTTTTTTCTGTGACGGGAAAAAAGTTTGGCATTTCATCTCTGTTGGCAGGTTATAAAATGTCACTTTTCATAAATTACTTTTTTCCCGTGGGAAAAAAGTGAGTACTTTTTTCCCGGATATATATCACATATATATACTCTGTTAATAGCTTTTGTTGTGCTATAGTTCCGAAAAATGAGTCAATAATACCGTCTCCGAGAAAGAACTGCAAGTCCTTTTATCTTCCATTCGACTTCGCGGTTTCGTATATTACTAAACAACTACTGAATTCGCAATTTTTTGAAATCAAATCACAGAATTGAACTGACAGAAGTGACATCAGATATTTGATTACTTCAGAAGAATGATAAAGATGTCTATGAAACGCAGGTGTCCCTACTGTTAAAAACTTGAAATTTCATGTCGATAATTTTCACATTTCGATATAATGTAATATCTTCTCAATATTGATTCGTTCTTCCTTCTGTCACAGAAAAAAATAGTGTATTATACACGGGAAAAATATTAGATTTTAGCTCACGGTTTTTTGTCTCCCTCCGCTACGCGTCGGGAGACAACACAACCTGGAGCTAAAATCTACTACTTTTTTCCCTTGTATAATAAATAACTAATTTTCGAATTATTAATTAATTATAGCCTGGCCAGGAATGTTCCTGCAGCCAACCGATTTTTCAAATAACTTTTAGCATGCTAATAAAAAAATATTTTCATCCATTAAACAGATGGGTGCAGGTCGACCCTACTTCTGATCCTCTCTATAATAAATTATCTGAAATTATTATTGTTTCTGATCACAGACCAATAGAGCAATGTCTGCTGGCGTCACAACATGGCGCACTCATCGTTTTCATCAGCTGATCAAGGGACAAACAAAGCTGTGTGTGAATTGAGCTCTTTTCCATCTTGAACGAGAGAGAGGAAAGTTCTCTCTTATTCCATCTCTCTCTGCAATGCTACCAACGTGGCCGCATTGAAATATAGAGAGATCCGATAAATCTTTCCTTGTCTAACATCTACTTTGTGCCGCTGAACTATTTTTCAATTCAGCAGAGTGTCAAATTCAATGATATTAACAGAATTTGTCAAAATAAGTATGATATAAATCAAAATTTCATTTTGAAAATTCGAAATGTCATCAGTCAATGACATTCATGACATAGACATATCACGTCATTATAATATCGAAAATAGTTCAGTGACGCAGACTTAGAGGTTAGACAAGGAAAGATTTATCGGTCCTCTCTATATTTCGATGCGGCCACGTTGGTAGCATTGAAGAGAAATATGGAAGAGGAGAGAACAGAGAACTTTCCTTTCTCTCGTTCAAGGTAGGAAAAGAAAAGAGCTCAATTTTGATTCTATTATTTCTGACCCATTGGTGATTTTGTTGAACTTGTAGATATTATACAAGAAGAATGTGTACATTTTCTTCCAAAATGAGTATCTATTGAGGTATATTATGAGGTATATTAGGTATATTAGAGCTGAACTCAAGTGAATCCAGTAATTTAAAATTGACAAATAAACCAATTTGAGCTCTTCTTTGGACTCATTCACTTCTCACAGGATTCATGATGAATGAATTAACAAACATGTCAATAAATAAATGCTCCAGGTATTGTATTTTAGTGGTAAAATGTGCAAGAAAGTTACATGTACCCTTATGGAAGATGTGTATGCTTGTCCCCCCCATCAGCTGTTCAATGGCCGACATATGACGTCACTGACAATGCTCTAGTTCTTCAATTCTTCATTACAGATTCACAATCGCCAAGGTCATTATATGACATTGTGACATTCAAAACTACAAGCAAACATCCTAGTTGTACTCTCAACAAAAATGAGACCAAAATGAGAGGTTCTTTCTGAATCTATGAGGACGGAAAGTAAAGGATGGAAACAGCAATATTGGTTTGACAAGTTTTGTATTATTTTTTCCCTACGTCCCTACAGAAGTTGGTCCCACTTTGAGGTGAGCTATGCTTCATATATGAGTAGTAGATATGATATTAATATATCATGTGATGGGAATGGTTCTAAAGATTTAGGCACTTCTAAGGAATGACCTGTAATTTTTGAAAGTAGAAGACCTTTAGAAGACATTTTTAATATTTTTATCATGAGGTCCACAAATTTATAATTCTCTTAAGTATCTTCATTCCCAGATAAAATCAAATTCTCTTGATCTCAGAAAATACTTCCAAGCACCACAATCACTGCTCCAAATAGACCTTGATTCTTTACATTGATTTCTTGATAGCATAATTATATTGAAATTATTCAGAGCCACCTCATGCTAGGGCATGAAGTTTCTCCTTTCATTTGTTAATGTGGTGTTCCTACCACCATTACCAGAATGGAAGGAATAAAACACAACTCCTAACTCCTGGCATAGATTGAAAGTTATACATTTACACATGTTTCCTGTAGTTTTCAATGTCTGAAGATATAAAGTTCAGTGTCAAACAAGTTCTTTGCTTCAAAATAGCCAATAAAAAACAAATTAAACACATCAAAACTGTATGTACATTTTTGTAAGACTCTCTAATATGATTTTAAGCATAACTCACCAACAAGAACTCGAAGAACCTTACAACTGGCATATTCCTCAATTTCTCTTAGCCAGTCAGTTAGGCAATCAAATGTTGGTTGACAAGAGATATCATATACCAATATTAAGGCATGTGCAGATCTATAATAGCTCTGGGTAATTGACCTAAATCGTTCTTGCCCTGCTGTATCCCAAATTTGTAGCTGAATATGATAAGAATGAAGTGGATAAGTTTAATGATACTGTGAGTAGAATTACTGGTTTCAATCATCAAGAACTACTTTTCTGCAGGCATTATATTATAATGTATTTTTTTAGGAACAATCAACATTTTTAAGTAGTATAATAAAAATGTGGTAATGGATCCAAAAACAAATATTAGAGCTAGTCTTGAATATAGGTATGTTCAGTTCACTAGATTCATTATCACTTCCTACTTTTTGACTACCACTGATTAATGGTGTGTTCATAGAAATTATTGATATTTAATTATTTGATGTACATTTAATGTCAACTAACAGCTAGCTATATTTCCCACAATTTTCAATAAGAATTGAACTAAATTAAATATAAGTTGAATGAGATTATAGAATAGAATGGCATTTATTTACTCATTAAAATACCCTGTACTGTAAAATATAGAATAGAAAGATTCATACAAAATATACATAATAATAATAGACAATCTATGCCACAAACAACAAACCTACAATACAACATGGCTATGATATGAAGGCATCTGAGTGTTTGTTTGTATTAAGATAATTTGAAATTAAATATGTTATGATTTCTTTGAACATCATTGAAATGGGACTAGAATATTGTCAATAAAAATGCCAAACTTATGATGGTTAGGACTGAAACTGTAGCTTAGGTAAAATGAATTATAAGGATCTCATTGTTATTATTCAATAAGCACTACACATATTGCCCAAGTTTTGAGGTAATTTTCTCTTGGATTTTCTCTTAAAAATATTCAATTGAATTGTGCATTAGAGCAATTAATTCATAAATCTAGATTGTTCATGAATATAATACTCACTTTTACTTTCTCATTACCAACTTCAACAGTTTTTATCATAAAATCAACACCTATAGTTGCCCCCTGACCAGGAGGAAACAGTCCTTGGGTGAAACGTCTCACTAGACAAGTTTTTCCAACTCCTGCATTGCCCACTAAGACAACTTTGAAGAGGAACTTGTAATCATCCATCGTTTACAAGGTTTTCTGTACTAATGCTTCATTTAATCTAGTCATTCTGCTCCAAATAGGGTATGTTTGCACTCAACTTCCTGTGCTTGGTTATTTTCTAAATGTGAATAGCTGATGTTCTTTGATGCATTAATTTTTATGAGCTTTATTACGAAATATTTCAATACTCAGGTATAATCTCAAGTAGTTACTCACTGAAATAAAAATTACGTCATCAAGGTGTGCTAACAATATCATAGATATTTTTAATTGTTACCTACCTATTATTCATCTGAAAGGGACGACCACAAAACATTTATCAATGTACAATATTACGTTGATTATTGACATATTTTCACTTTTGCACAAGAGGTTAAAAGCGATGAACTATGAAATTGGCTATTATTATTGTTGATCTAGTAAAAATAACAATATTTTGATTATTTTGATATTTTTATCCTTGATTTTTATCAACATTCCAGTTTTTTGTATATTGTGTCAACGTCACTAACGTCAGTATGACTTATGAGTCGTATCACAAGACGTGAACTTCATGACTGGTATCATGACTGGTATGACAATGACATGACATGTTGATGTTGACATGTCTCTAGCCAGTCACGAGTATACGAGTGTTTCGCGACAGGACCATAAAAATGAGGATAGCTTCATAAGATTACGGTGGTTTTATGTTCGGCACTGGGACGAAATAGCGCAGGACAAAATAGCGCAGGACGAAATAGCGCGGACAAAATAGCGCAGGGACATAATAGCGCAGGGTCATAATAGCGCAGGGACATAATAGCGCAGAGACAAAATAGCGCAGAGACAAAATAGCGCAGAGACGAAATAGCGCAGGAACAAAATTGCGCGCGAAAATGGAGTGCAGGATCTATGATTAGGTTTGTTCGTTTGTTAGAGTAAAGACTCATTCTTCAAATACAAGGTGTTTCAAAATGAGTCTATACCCTAGCAAACAAACTAACCTAATCATAGGTCTACTTTAACAATCCAACGGCATACCTAGTATTAAGTTACTTCGTTTGTAAGGGTAGTCTCCTTTTGAAACATCTAGTATTTGAAGAAATAGTCTATGCCCTGACAAACGAATTAACGTAATCATAGATGATGCACTACGTTTTCGCGCTCAAATTTGTCCCTGCGCTATTATGACCCTGCGCTATTTTGTCTCTGCGCTATTTCGTCTCTGCGCTATTTTGTCTCTGCGCTATTTCGTCTCTGCGCTATTTCGTCCCTGCGCTATTTTGTCCTGCGCCCTTTTGTCCGCGCTATTTTGTCCTGCGCTATTTCGTCCCAGTGCCTTATGTTCTACAATGCCGCCAATAGTGAGTAATTTTTTGATTGGTTTCCCTGAACAATGGCGGTGCATCCGCCTAACTAGCATTCTTTGTGATTCTGCGAACCTTGTCATTTCTTGATATCAGCTGTTATTGGCTGTGTTGTTGAATAATTCTTTCGAAATTACAAACAATAATAAATGGATGAAAATTGATATTCTGCAGATTTGATGATAATTATGAAGGCTGAATTTGTAAAAATGATAATAGGAACATTCCTACTTTTGGATTTCGGAAACACAGACCGCTCCAGTGGGTCCAGATTCCCAGAACTAGGAACAATAGTGAATGGGTTCATGGAGAATGAATATTTATGGTGACCTTCATTATGTTTCAAACCATATATAGGACAGCTGAGATCATTTGATACGAAAAACCTCACTATATACATGGATGCCAAGGTGCATGAATACAGCAAATTGGAGTCTAAATATATACAATCACCCACTGAGTTCTTATATGGGCAAGAACCCATCAAGTATTGATATTTATTTATAGACTATTATCCAAGGAAATACCTAATACCTACATGGATTAACGACTCCCCAATATAAAGAGGGCAAGGAAGTGCAGCAGTCCCAAGAAAAAATCCCTTTTTATCACATACCCTTGGTAATACACACAATTTTTTTTTACACAATACTTTTCCCACGTTGGGCGCCAGATAAAAATGGAAAAGCACTCGACAGGCTGTAGATGGGTTCTTTGCAAGTTTGAATTAGGGATTAAAAATCGATATTTCCCCATGGAACACGTGATTCATTTATTCTTGGTATAATATATGATCTGAAAGGTTTACAAAATTAAGTAAATATTTCACACATGAAAGTATTTTTTTACCCTTACCTAAAGCACCAGGCCAAAATCGATACAATATCAGAATTAAAAGCTGAATTATTACACAATCGTAGAGCCAAAAGCTTCCAGAGACCGGTTCATACCAAAAAAGTGAGAATCAAAAAATATCATTCTGGCAGCAATTTAAAAAACCGGCGCAAAAACGACCAGAGGCCAACAAAAGTGATAATGCTGGAAATCCGGTATTAGTAGCGACCCCTAGTAGGGTTATGCGCTAGTATATCTCCTGGAAATTGATCCGGTAATAAGATTACTGTAAAAGCACAGCGAGTTTGAGATACACTAGGTACAGGTTCGTTGCACGGCTAAGTGGTGGCGTTAGTGGTAAGTTTCGAAAAGAAAACGAAATAACACAGTTGAGTCACTCGCCTGAATGTGCCGATCTCCCTACCCCTTGCCTCTCGACCCGCTCAGAGAGCCGGGGCCATCATTCGGTTCCCTGGCGTATACATAGTGGCTCTCGCTTTTGATACGTACGGTTGTCCGCTATTTTTATTGGGTGCGTCAGAAAAGTGTTACATTTGATTACGGCGATAATGCCTTATGTATACTGTGCAGTGAGAAATTGCCTATCAAGACGTGGATATGGTGTATCCTTGTTTCGTTTTCCGAAGGATGAAGCAAGGTATGTATTTTATTTACACAATATTATCAGAAGGCCGTTTCATTCGAAATTTGAAATTATTTTTAAATTATTTAATTATGAAATTTTAGATAGGTATTTGAGAAATGATTATAATTAACTATCATCTTTACAGATGCCAGATTTGGAAGAACCAATTAGGATTCACTGGAAGTCATGAATATGCCCATTTTACTCCAGATCAATGCTACCAAAGGATCAAAATTTGTGGCAGACATTTCACCAATGGAAATTTCATGACTCCTGAAAATAATAGGCTAGCTAATAATGCAATACCGACATTGTTCTTGGATGAGCCAACAAGTGAGTTTTTGTAATGGTTTTTATTTTATTATTCTAATCAAATAATTTCATTTGGTATGATCTATAGGTTCAAACTCCAGAAGCGTTTCTGCTACTACTATATCATTGCCAGATTATCAGAATTCTGAAGCACAAACTGATATTTTGATCAAAAGTGATGCCTGCGTACAGACCGTATATAATAAGAATGGTACGTAGATATTAACCGGTTTATTCATTGAATATTGACACCCATGTACAGCCATTATCACATGTGAAAATGTTTAGAACGTAAAGGCTTCAAACTCGAACTTTTCGAATCTATTTGATCCATTCTCATGATCTATAGCAGAAATAACAAGAGATAGGTACCTAATTCATAATGTGGGTCATTTGACAGGTGCTTTTGTTATATTTTATCAAGGAACCAATAACAACCCATTTGTACCATAATATAAGGGGTGCGACATTGAAATAAAAATGAAATTGAAATAAATACGCGAACTTCAATTACTTATACAAATTGTCTAGAGGTGGCGTAGTTGATCTTTTTGTTTTCTCGTTTTATTACAAAAAATCTGATGTTTTGGGAATATTTGTTAGACTGCATCATATCGATGTGTTTGTGAATATTTGAATTCAGGTTGATTGCTCATTGAACATGAATTTCCATCAAGGTATAGCTGATTCCGTTCATCAAAAAAATATATATTCTTGTTATATTTCAGATCAAGGCTGTCAAACTTCAGCCAGTCTTTCGTCTAAAAGCCCAAGGAAAGATGCATTACAGGGACAAATTAAAACGCTTCAGCATGAAATATCGCGAGCTAAGAAAAGGCTTGAGGTTGGGATAACTTTGGAAGATGTTGAAAATTTTTTCACAGAACATTATCCCGAAGAAAAAACTACTTTCTTGAGATTCCAACTTTCCCTTTTGAACAAAGCTCCAAAGGGATGTAGGTACTCCGATGATTTCAAACAATATTGTTTAAGTTTATACTTCCTTGGGCCAAAATCTTATAAAAAACTATCAAAAATATGTCGTTTGCCATCTAAGAGTACGCTTGATCGCTTTGTTAAATCCTGGTTGATTAATCCTGGGTTCAATGATTTTATTTTTCGGTTAATAGAAATACGTAGTCGATTACTACAAGACAAGAGTAAATAAAGACTGTGTCTTATGTATAGACGAAATGTCAATTAAATCGAATCTATTTTATGATATATCGAAAGATAACATAATAGGATATCAAGAAGGTTTTGATGGTAAATCTTCAGATATTGCGAGCAACGCTTTAGTTGTTATGGCTAGGGGTATTGCAAATAATTGGAGACAACCATTAGCATATTTTTTTTATAAGACTTCCCCAAACTCCGAAGAATTGAAAAAAATTATATTTGAGACAATTAGAAAATTAACTGCAACCGGCTTAAGTGTCCACGCTGTTGTTTCTGATCAAGGTTCAAATTTTTATAAATTGGTGAAAACTTCTCTAGCGTTAACAGAAGATAATCCTGTTTTCAAGGTTGATGATCAAGAAGTTGTTTATCTATTCGACGTACCACATCTTTTAAAATCAACGAGGAATAACTTTTTCTCTTATAAATTTATATTCAATAATGGAGAAACAAATAAAGGATTTTTAGAACAAATGTATAATTTCGAGCAACAAAAACAATATAGACTTGCACCAAAATTGTCCAACGATCATATTTTTCCAAACAATTTTCAGAAAATGAAAGTTAAATTAGCATCTCAGGTATTCAGTCATTCGGTTGCAGTTGCAATGTCTACATATATTGATTTTGGAGTTATATCAGAAGAAGCAAAACCTACTATGGATTTTATAAGAAAAATGAATTTATTTTTCGACATTTTGAATTCAAACACTCTCTCTAACTTTGGAGCCTTTATGGGAACTGAAAAACAAATCTCATTTTTGAAAGAAATGAATGATTTATTCAAAGATTTACGTGTAGAAAATATTGATGGCAAAAATGTAACCAAACA